TTCTCGAAACCTGGGAGGAGAAAAAGAGTGATTGACTGACCCCAAGGAGGAAACAACTTTCACTTTATAAGAGAAACCAAGGGAGGAGCAGTTTCATTTCCATAGCAACATAACTGGCAGGGTAGCAGCAGGAAGTAATACAGAAAATGGGGGGAGCAAACTAACGAACTTAAGAACACACCACAGCAGGGAAGGATGAAAATTTGCCAAGTGTCAGCCGGTAGAGCATGGGGACTCTTTGAGCCCCACGTTGGGCGCCAAGTGTGCCTGTAAGAGCCAAAATGAGGGATGTGGGACTCCAGGCAGCTCTCCAAAATGCAGCTTGTTCCATCCAAGAGGTTACAGCAGGCCAGGGTCTGTTAAAGTGTTTCTGTTTAAAACAGTGCTAAGATTTTTCATTCTACAACTCCATTAAAGCACAGGTGAGAATGGAACAGTCACCCTGGTTTCTGATGACACACTTCAATGCCAAACAAAGCTAATAATTTGCAGTAGCCAGTTAATCTTACACCTGACTCCAACATCACCCAGCTCCAAGGCTCCTCCTTGTTTACCACATTAAAAAAACAGTGGTAGGTGTGGTAAACAACTGCTCAGACTGAAACGGAACTGCTACAAATCCAGATTGGCTCTGAATTTACTGAGCCTGAAACTTTTGAGGTTAAACTCAGCAGGTACAGTCATGGCACAGCAAACCCTTCCCTCCTCTTGCAGCCTGTTTCAGCGAGTCACAGTGCTAACTGCAAGAGTTGCATTTAATTTTTAGAATTTTTCATACTCCACCAAACTGGATGAAGAATTTATTTCCATCTGTCAAAACCCACATCACATTTACCCATTTCGGAGAAAGAACTTCTAGAATTGTGGGAGTTCTCATTCCTGCTATTCAATGCTCAGTCACGAAGCAAGAAGGAAATTAGGCATGTGCAGAAATAACTGGAATGTTGAAATAGCTAGACAACACAAACACCATCTGTCCCACTGCACTGTGTCCTAGGATTTCTGCTCTGAGGAAACACACTGCAGAGAAATGTGGCAATAAACAACATTGCAAATATGACCTTCAGCTTTCCTGCAATCCTAGGAAATAGAGGCAATCAACACATAAAATAATACAATTACTTAATATAAGAAAAACTGTGACAGTCTGTATTCTTACTGTACATTTGGAAAAAAACCTCATGTAACAGGCTATGTAACTACTCTTCAGTATTTGTATTACTTATATCAATTCTGCCTTTAAATTGTAATTTCTAATGTCCTTAAACCACTTTTAGGCCCTTAACTTATTTTTTAAAGAATATTTTATTAGAAAAGAAGAAGATAAAAACTAAAAATATCTAAGGAAAAGTAAAAACATCTCTTCCCAGAAAGAAACTATAATAAGATGCAGCAGCTGCTCCTCATTTCAAAGTCACCCCTGCAGAATTCCCTTTGCCAGGTACTGGAGCCCTGCATGTATAAACACAAGACTAAGCTGTGCCTTCTTGTGCCTGATCCAGGGCCTTTATCTGAATTTTTCCCTTGGTTGTTCTGTGAATAATAAGAGCAAAGAAGCATTCAAAACAGCAAATGACTAAGAAACCTATGCAGTGCACAGAAAACATGGTAGAAAGGTATTTCAGTTTGCCTTACCATCCTTCTGGGAAAGGGCTTTGTCAATAAAATCAGCTGCCTCCTCAAAGTAGCGACTGAGGTTAAATTCCTGTGTATCATTAGCTTTTATGCCATGGTATCTGATGCCTGAGCCTTCATAGAACTCTGCATTAGTGTTCACATGCATGAATGATTTCCCCTCTGCTGCATTCAGAACATGGGTTATCCCCAGATGCTGCAGCCTCGTTATGTTCTTGGCTATGAACCTGCATGACAAAAAGTGTCAAGAACATGATTAGAATTTGGTGAATCATCTCAGTATTTCGGTATTGAGAACCAAACCCTTGGATTTTTCTGTTAATAGATGACAAATATGCCCAAAAAGTGAATTAGCTACAGGTTATAAATTCACAAAAATATTCAGAGCCATGGTCCCTTACTTGAGCATGAGAGAATGCTGATTTCTTGGCTGACATAGAGGAATGCACATATGAAAGTGAATCTGCATCTCTTAGATCCTACTGTGGCATAAAATTCTGACTTTCTGAACATAAAATTCTGACCAAAGTAGGGAGATACTGGAGATAACAACACATTAACTTCTAAGGTTAACAGTTATCCACATAAAATGATTTAAAAAGCAGTTAAACAACCCTGCTCAGTAACACAAGTGACCATGCACCAACCTCAGCTTGTGCCCTGGGATGCAATCTGCAGTAAGAGGAGCTAACCATAAAGGAATATCAGGAGAGCATTGACTTCTTTTTGCCATAATTCCACTACTTTTCATTCTGAGTCTGATTATTTCCTTATGTCAGTTGCAATATTTGCCTCACTTTCCTGGGAAATAAAAAACCCCACATGTTTTATCACTCTGTGTGGTCTCCTAGTAAAATGTAAGCCCCACTGGCCAACAGCAGCAGAATGTGAGAGATCCTTTAGCTGAAGGATAACTCAGTTCCTGCACACTGTGTGAAAGGAAGTAGCCCAGACAGATTGTTTTTAAAAGCAGCTTTCAGTACGTGTTTAACCGGATATGGAAACAAATATTTTTTTAAAACTCCCCACAGCTCAACTTATAAATTTCAGATACAAGAGGTCTTAATATTAAGCTGAGCTCCAGATAAGCATTTGTGCAGTATCATTCTGGATAAGTTTCTGTGAGATGGCAATGCATCCAGGGCTTTTGGCTAGACACTAATCTAAAAAAATAAACAACCAAATTAGTCAGTTTATATCTACATGAATCTCTGAGTCCATCCACTCACAATTTTGATGCAATTCAAGGCCATGAACATCTTGAGAATTTCTTTCTTCCTGATGATTGCACACCCCTTAAATTCTAGTGAAAGCAGATGAAGATTTATGCATGACTGAAGCTTCTACATTTTCTGCTGTCTGTGCCAAGCAACTATGGCAATGAACCAAATATTTGTAAGACTTCATTACCCAAACAAATGCTGACAGATTTTCCATCTGGCAGGACATCATCTGTGCCAGGGGAGAAGTTTCAGTGTCTGGAGAATTCTGCTTTCAACACAAAAATCCTACAGAGCAAGGCCAAACCAAAAAGTGTTAATTCAGTGGTGAGTTCCTATGCTTAGTAGGGTGAGAATATGGTTTAATTAACATTATACAGATCAGCATGTATCTGAGTGTTCAGCATCAACAGGAACTCCCATCCTGAAATCATGGTTGAATGTGGCAACAGATTGTTATTTCTAAATTATTTACTGCACAAATCAGCTTGCAAGCTATGACTTCCTTTTTTCCTCAGGATAAAACTACTTCTAGTATTTTGTAACTACTACAAGTATGAAGGAGATGGTGGCTGTCAGACATCAGGCTGGCTACTGAATTATTTCAGTCCCATCTCTAGATGTGCATGTCCTGGCAGTAACAAATATAATTTGGTTTGCCTTATGATTAAGTTAGTGACAATCTACGATCTTGACTTGTACTTCTTTAGGAGGTAAAAACTTAAAATAAGGACAGGGATCCAGTGTATTTAAAAAAAAAAATCCCAATTTCACAGGGAAGAAGTGCACAGAGATGGATCAAAAAGGGGAAGGAGAATCAGCAGTGTGAAAAATGTGTATTTATGATTGGCTTTTCACAAATATTAAAAGGAATATTATATGTGTTGTGTTAGAAAGTAATGCTGTATTAATTCTCTAAAGTACTGTATTAAATATAGTTTTAGGTTATTACAAAATGTTAAAATAGAAACTATGCTATGTAGGATACTTTTTTCCTAAAGAAAGGACTCGTACTGAGATAGCAGCCACACGACACCTGAATCTTTCAGAGAAAGAGAATTTATTGCTCCATTATCAGGAGAAACGAATTTCTTCCTGCCTCGCTCAGTCAGGACGACGCTGTCAGAATTCAGAGGAAGAAGCTGACACTGACCAGACAGAATCCTGCGTTTGAATGGAATTTATGCATCGTGTATGAGGTGTATGCTTTTAAGGGTTAATCCTCGGTTAACGTGGGTCCTTTTTCGGGCTTTTTTTGCCCAGAAAGAGGTACCCAGATCCTCTGTAACTCTTTGTTTCTATTGTTTCATATTATCCTAATCCAAATTGCCCAAATTTTTATTACTCCAATTATGTTACTATTTTTATAGCCATTTTATCACTATTCAACTTTTAACATTTTAAAAACAAGTGACTGGCGTTTTTCACAAGCAGGATAGGACCGGATAACTGAAACGATGATGTGGCGTAAAAAATAAACCCCGCTGACATCCAGCAGATCCCGTCCTGCAGCCTGGCTGCCCTGGGCTCGGAGCACCGGGAGCTGCTCGGTGA